GGGGGGGGGGGGGGGGGGAAATTAGTTGGGTTTGTGCTGCATGTTAACCCTGAAACCGCAGCCCCTCCTTTTACATCGCAAACCCATTTTAAATGGCCAACCCAACGGGTCCTTGGTATGGTTAATGATAGCAGTACTCTTTGAAACCATCCCCACATGTTAAGAAGGTTAAAAAAGCCAAAAGACTGTGTCTTACCATGGCTGCCTGCAAGCTGAAATCTGTGACCTGGCACTGCGTGAGTGATCTCTCACACCAAACAGGCAGGCCCTCCATATAAGAGGAAAAATGCGACCTTGTAACGAAAGCACATCTGCTGTGTAATGTGAACAGCAAAATGTAACATAAAAGAGTGTACCCATTGTTCTCTAAAATGTATCTTTTTTAACCACCTCTCCCTTCTCATCCACCAGCTGCACATGTCTCTCCTTCGCAGAGGCTAGTGAATATTCGAAAACGTAAGCGAAGGACACGTGACGAAATGTTTACAGAACTACAGACTGCCTCCCACGCTGACAGAGGACAGCAGAATGCGTGGAGGCAGTCAATGACTGATTATCGAAAAGCCCAATATGAGCGAGAGGAGAGGTGGCGGGCTGAATCGCGGGCTGAGGAGGAGAGGTGGCGGGCTGAATCGCGGGAGGAACAGAGGAAGTTGCGGGCTGAAGATGAGAGGTGGCGTCAGCTTGCACACAGAAAGCAAGAGTCCATGCTCCGTCTGCTGGAGCATCAAACAGATATGCTACAGCGTATGGTTGAGCTGCAGGAAAGGCAGCAGGAGCACAGACCGCCGCTACAGCCCCTGTGTAACCAACAGCCATCCTCCCCAAGTCCCATTGCCTCCTCACCCAGACGCCCAAGAACACGGTGGGGGGGCCTTCGGCCACCCACTCACTCCCTAAATGATTTCCATAGCAATAAGTTTTAAAGTTTTCAATTGGAGTGTGTCCTTTTCCTTTCCTCCTCCCCCACCCATCCCGGGCTACCTTTCCAATTATCCCCCTAGTTGTGTGATGAAGTAATAAAGAATGCATGAATGTGAAGTAACAATGACTTTATTGCCTCTGCAAGTGGTGCTTGAATGGGAGAGGGTAGTAGGGGAGGGTGGGGTTGTAGGTTTACAGGGAAGTAGAGTTAACCGGGTGGGGGGGGGGCGGAGATTTCATCAAGGAGAAACAAACAGAAGTTTCAAACCGTAGCCTGGCCAGTCACAAAACTGGTTTTCAAAGCTTCTCTGATGCGCACCGTGCCATGCTGTGCTCCTCTAACCGCCCTGGTGTCTGGCTGCGCGTAATCAGCGGCCAGGCGATTTGCCTCTACCTCCCACCCAGCCATAAATGTCTCCCCCTTACTCTCACAGAGATTGTGGAGCGCACAGCAAGCAGCAATAACAATGGGGATATTCTTTTCGCTAAGGTCTGAGCGAGTCAGTAAGCTGCGCCAGCGCGCTTTTAAACGCCCAAATGCACATTCCACCACCATTCGGCACTTGCTCAGCCTGTAGTTGAACAGGTCCTGACTCCTGTCCAGGCTGCCTGTGTATGGCTTCATGAGCCATGGCATTAAGGGGTAGGCTGGGTCCCCAAGGATCACGATAGGCATTTCAACATCCCCAACGGTTATTTTCTGGTCCGGGAAGAAAGTCCCTTCCTCCAGCTTTCTAAACAGAGCAGAGTGCCTGAAGATGCGAGCATCATGTACCCTTCCCGGCCAGCCCACGTTGATGTCGGTGAAACGTCCCTTGTGATCCACCAGGGCTTGCAGCAGCATTGAAAAGTACCCCTTGCGGTTTATGTAGTCGGTGGCTTGGTGCGCCGGTGCCAAGATAGGGATATGGGTTCCGTCTATCGCCCCACCACAGTTTGGGAATCCCATTGCAGCAAAGCCATCCACTATGGTCTGCACGTTTCCCAGAGTCACTACCCTTGATATCACCAGGTCTCTCATTGCCCTGGCAACTTGGATCACAGCAGCCCCCACAGTAGATTTTCCCACTCCAAATTGATTCCCGACTGACCGGTAGCTGTCTGGCGTTGCAAGCTTCCACAGGGCTATCGCCACTCGCTTCTCCACTGTGAGGGCTGCTCTCATCCTGGTATTCTGGCGCTTCAGGGCAGGGGAAAGCAAGTCACAAAGTTCCATGAAAGTGCCCTTACGCATGCGAAAGTTTCGCAGCCACTGGGAATCGTCCCACACCTGCAGCACGATGCGGTCCCACCAGTCTGTGCTTGTTTCCCGGGCCCAGAATCGGCGTTCCACGGCATCAACCTGCCCCAGGAACACCATGATTTCCACATTGCTGGGGCCTGTGCCTTGTGAGAGGTCTAGGTCCATGTCCATTTCCTCATCACTCTCATCGCCGCGCTGCAATCGCCTCCTCCTCCTCCTTGCCTGGTCCTGGTTTTGCTTTGGCATGTCCTGGCTCTGCATATACTCCAGGACAATGCGCGTGGTGGTCATAGTGCTCATAATTGCCGCGGTGATCTGAGCGGGCTCCATGATCCCAGTGCTAGCTATGGCGTCTGGTCTGAAAAAAGGCGCGAAAGTAGTATCTTACGGACCAGGGGAAGAAGGAAGGGAGGGAGGGAGGGGCGAGTGACGACATGGCGTACAGGTACAGGGAATTAAAATCAAGAAAGGTGGCTTTGCATCAGGGAGAAACACAAACAACTGTCACACAGAATGCCCCCCCCCTCCCAAGATTGAACTCAAAAGCCAGGGTTTAACAGGAGAGAGGGAGGGGGGAAGCAAATGAATACAGAATAAATCTATTTTTTACATCTTAAGACGACGGTGCAGCATGACTGATAGCCCTTGGCATTTTCTGGGTGCTTGGCAGCAAATACTGGGCGCTTGGCAGTAAGCCTTCAGGTCTATTGCACGATCTGATACCCACTGCAATATGACAATGATGGATACCAATCGTAATATGCTATCTACTGCCCAAAAGGCAAGGGGTTGCTGCTGTGTAGCAATCTAGCCCCACGTCTGCCAGCCCCATGTCTGCCAGCACCCAGATCGCCATCCGCCTCTTCTGGGTGCTTAGCAGACAATACTGGGCACTTGGCAGAAAATAGCATACTACAACTCTGCTAACGTGCAATGATCCAACAGGGCGCGTGGCAGAAAATAGCATACTACGAGTGATAACCATCATTGTCTGCCCAGGTGCCCATGATCAACAGCCACTGCAGTACAACGACGACGGATACCAGTCGTAATAAACCATCTTCTACCAAAAGGCAAGGGGCTGGTGCAATGCAGCCCTACGGCTGCCAGCCCCACAGCTGCCCGCACCCAGATCGCCAATGAAGGCTACCAGTCATGCTGCACCGTCTACCGCCAAAAGGCAGTTAGCTGCTGCTGCTGTGTAGCAATGCAGTCCCACGTCTGCCGGCACCTAGATGACATATGGTGACGGTGAGCTGAGCGGGCTCCATGCTTGCCGTGGTATGTTGTCTGCACAGGTAACCCAGGTAAAAAGGCGTGAATCTATTGTCTGCCGTTGCTGTGACGTAGAGGGAGGGACCTGACGACATGTACCCAGAACCCCCCGCGGCACTGTTTTGCATCATCCGGGCATTGGGATCTCAACCCATAATTCCAATGGGCGGCGGAGACTGCAGGAACTGTGGGATAGCTACCCATAGTGCAATGCGCCGGAAGTCGACGCTAGCCTCGGTACTGTGGACGCGGTCCGCCGAACTAATGCACTTAGAGCATTTTATGTGGGGACACACACAATCGGCTGTATACAACCGATTTCTATAAAACCGGCTTCTATTAATTCGATCTAATTTCGTAGTGTAGACATACCCTATGCCTCTTGCAGAGGTGGAGTTATTAGATCAGTTTAGTGTGCAACTTACATTGGTGGGAGCAACATTGTAGTGTAGACACTTACATCCATTTAACTCTAGTAGTAAAGACCAGGCTGTGGGCAGAGGGCTTTCGCTGAGTAGTGTGTGAGCAGGCAGGGGCAGGAGAGAATAGAGAGGGAAGAAGCAGTACAGAGAAGCAGAGACAAAAAGCAAGCTAGCCAATCAGTAGCCTCTGAGCCCAGTGTGGCCGTGGGAAAAGCTAGAGAGAACTTTGAGGTCTGTTGTCTAAAGAGGCTTGGTGCTGTAAGCTAAGAAACTGAAACTGTTACTTTTGTTCTTGGTTCCTCCTGCCTTTGGAGAAGCAGGTCTTTGTAAACAGGTATTTCTTTGTTGCAGTTTTGTTTATCACCAATTTCTACTCCCAACTGGAACATCCACAGCAACCCAAATTTTGACTAGCTGCTCAGGTCCAAAAGGGACAACATTATATTTTAAAGGCGTACTAGAACATAAACAAACCTAAGACTTCAGTATTTCATCGTCTCAAATTTGATGGGAAATATCCAGGTTAAAAATCACTCATTTTAAAAACAAGAATCTTCAGCTGTGATATTGTGATACTGCAGTATATTTAAACAGGAAACTTTTTAAACATTCTTTCTCAGTATTTAATCCGCTTGATTTAATATGTACCTTTCTCTCTGCTGGTGCATAAGCAGATGTGTCGTTTTAGGTTTAGTTTTTTGAGTTCCCAGGCTGCGATGTTTAGGGTGCAAACACTCCAGGGAATATTTATTAGCTTCCCCCACCTTAAAAAAAACCCTTTTATTGGAACTCAAGAAACAATTAAAATATTTCTTTGATCTCATTTTTTTTAAAACATATTTTTTGTAAAAACTAAATCTTTGGCCAGTTTTCGTCTGATTCTTTTAATATTGCCTGGTACAATGTAGGTTTATTAGTATTGCCCTACAGTTATAGTTGTTAAAATGAGTAAGTAAATTGCTTTGGCACTATAAAATGCATAATTTCATTTGTTTTAATTTTTGGCTGTCTGTCCAAGAAGGATTTTCTGTAATTTCTTGAGCAATGGAATGGGACTCAGGAGACCTGCTGGGTGACCTACGATAAGGCACTTCATTGCTCTGTGCCTCGGTTTCCCCATTTGTAAAATGGAAATGGTACTGAACTTCTTTGTAAAGTACTTTGAGGTCTACTTATGAAAAGTGCTATGAGTTTGCATGTAAGCTGATAAGCAGATGCCAGTCTTTTTCTATAAAATATATTGATTCTTTATCCTCTTTGCAGAAGCCAAAGAAGCCACCACCTCCTGTTAAAAGTCCAGGTATGTAAAAGTTGCATGCTGATAAATGTACTGACAATCTTTGAGCATTAAAAGGAACAAAAGTCACTGCTCTAGAAGCTTCATAAATGCAATGAGAGTTTAGAAACAAGTCATTTTATTCAGTCGTGAAGGCAAGATTTTCTAATTTTAGTGTACCTGTGTAAAGACGTATGTTATGCTCCACATTCACGATGATGTGGTATGGCAAGAGTTTAAGATGACTTTCCAAACTCAAAAGTAGCTTTGCATTTCTGAGCAGTACAGCAACCCCAAATTCATGCCAGTGACACTATGTATCCTGCTATGTATTTTGTTTGACACATCTGACAGAACCTAGTTCTGAATCTTAGGCTAGGTCTACACTACCCGCCTGAATCGGCGGGTAGAAATTGACCTCTCGGGGATCGAATTATCGAATTACCGACGAGACACGACAATCGATCCCCGAATCGACGCTCTTACTCCACCAGCGGAGGTGGGAGTAAGCGCCGTCGACGGGAAGCCGCGGAGGTCGATTTTGCCACCGTCCTTACAGCGGGGTAAGTCGGCTGCGATACGTCGAATTCAGCTACGCTATTCGCGTAGCTGAATTTGCGTATCTTAAATCGCCCCCCCCCCCCGTAGTGAAGACGTAGCCTAAGTTTAGAAATATTTTAATACTTCCTCACATCTTTGAGTTTAAATGAATGGTTATACACTATATTACGATCCTTGGCTAGAAGAAACAGTATAAATACAAATAATCATAGGTTATATTTTTAGCGAATGACTAGGATAATTATAGTTGCTTGAGAAATGTGTTCGGTTTTGTTTTTATGTTCAGCTCCTAAGCCTGAACTTCCAATAGGAGAGAAGAAGTTTCTTTCTTCTAGACCTGAAGAAAAAGGTGAGACCAATTTTCTTCACCTTGAAATTAAACTGAGTTCATGTAAAAGAACTAAACAATATTTAGTTATTTTGTTTTAAATAAATAAAATACCTGTATGGGAAAAGTTATTACTTATTGTTGTTTGCTATCATAATTGTTTCTAAAACTATGCAAGTATGTTAAGGTTTTTAGATTTGTGTGTCTGCATTTAAATCTACATATTGTACATTATGATAACACTTAATTGCTTTTGCTGAGTCATTTTCTTAGTCTTGAAATTGCAGTCGGTATGACAGTTTATAATGACCTACTTGCAGTTTTAATAATTTGCTTAAATGCAATTTTGTAATAAATGTGGTGATGTAATTCTGGATAACAGTGGATATTTATTAAAATAAATATTTTGGAAATATCAGTTACTGCTCTTATAGAGAATGTTTCATCAAACATGTGAATGGCTTCAATTGAAAGTTTTGTTTGGAAAAAACACCAAAAGTGTATCTACAACATTGTCCTAATGTTATTAATTTGTAGGGGAGATATTGTGATTCTAGACTTTTAGAAGTAAAAATCTCCTATCCTGTAAACACCTAAACCATTCAGTCTTCGTGCAGATTTTATCTTTCAGTGTTTCCGTTTTCACTAATTGTAGAGAAGTTTGCTAATTTACTCACAATACATTTCACGACTTTAAAGCCTCAGAACTATCTCTTAAAAAAAAAAAAAATTTTTTTTAATGGTCTGAACCAAATGTAATGTTTCTAAAATTCTCCTCTTTGTATTTGGAAAAATTGAACAAGGAACTAAAGGTCCATACAGAATTTGCGTTTATTAGGATAAAGAGAAAACTTCTGACAAATTGCCATTTCTTTCTCTAAGTTTATCTGCTTCATAGGACTTGAAAGAAAAAATGCTATTGTTATAACAGTTTGGCCATATTATATAAAGATACTTTGTAATGCAGCCAATGAACCTTGGCCATAGAATGTGTTCAGGACAGCATTTTCAAATGCATGATTAAGAGTAAGCCAGCTCCATTTGAGTTTTGGCCTTTCTGCACAAATTTTGAATAACCTGCTATGTAAACTACATATATTCTTTGGAGTAATCCATATGCATGAGTGTTTAGTGAGCCATCTTGCGTCTGAATATTATTAGAGAACAAATAATTTTTTTCTTCATTGGACCACATTCTTCCTTTTCCAACTAATTGAAGTCAGTAGATTGACACCAGGGCTGAATTTGGTGTCCATTTGGCAGCTAAAATAAACCTGAAAAAACGAATACTTTGTTTTGATTCTGTTTAAGTTAATACTGTTATTAACACTATTAAATTAAACAAGCTACTAGCTGAAGAATAATAGGCCAAGAAGCAAATTATATAGAACATCAAATTCTGGGAAATTCTGCATTTTTAAAAATGGAAAGTGAAGTGCAGAGCTGTGCCTTTCTATAGAACTTTCTAAAATGGGTGAAATTCTAAGGCCTGTGTTATGCTGGAGTTCAGACTAGATTATCATAATGGTCCCTTCTAGCCTTAAAATCTGTTAAGATAAATAGTAGTAGTGTTTTGCTTTAAATAAACTTCCATTTATATTTGCATTTTCTACCTCTCCTGAAAACATGTACAAATACTGCTAATCATTTTAATAAAATATTAAATTGTGGTGGAATTAGTCCTGTTAAAAATATTAGCTAATATTCATGTGAAATTATAAACCTTATTATGAGAGACTAATTAGGCTGTTATAGCCCAAGTCTGTCCTTAAATTGGACAAGAATTGGTTAGCTGCTCTTTTATATAAGCAGTATTTTTATACGACTATTGAAAGGACGTTTAATGACGTTGGTTACATTTACTAAGAGCAAAAAGTTATCAGTATGGTATTTTCCTTTCCATTATGTAGCATTAACTTTTAGCCAACTTTTAGTATCTTTTTCATTGTTTATTAACTCCAGAATAGTTGTTAGCGTACAGACTGCTATAGCTTTGTATAGCAAAAGAGACTGATCACCATGGTGTGGTGATCTGTGGTAAACAAATATTTAATAATTAATTTTTTTTTTCTTGGTTTGTGACAGCCTTCATATTTAGGTTTTGTTTTGTGGAAAAAAGTTCAGATGATAGCATTCTAAACATTGAGGAATATCACATAATAAAAACAAAGATGTCAGAATAGTTGACTCTGATTCATATTTATTTTTTATCGATTTTCTTTTTTAAATATAAAATTATTGATCCAGTTTGGTGACTGTTATAGGTTGAACACAGCGTTGTAGAACTTGTGCTGCCTTTCTTCACTCGTATCACATATATTTGTAATTTCTAAAGTTTAAAATTTGTCAGCCAGCCAGTATACATAGACCAGAAAAAAAACAAATTAATTAACAAGACTTTTTACACAACACTAAATCTCATAATTGCGTATTTATAATTTAGCAGCACCACGTGGCAAAATTGTGTATTGTCCCATTATATCAGTTACTCCAACTCAGTACCAAAAAAGCGCTGCTGGAGATACGATTCCAATACACTGAGCCTTTTCACTGATTTACTGGTATGCTTCATACCTTTGAATTCTAGTATCTCAGGCCTTCAGAAATTGCAATAAGGCAGTATTTATAGTAGATTCTGTCATGGGTGGTATCTCACCTAAACAGTTCACAATCTTCTATGTGTTTATCCTCACACATCCCTGTTGAGGTACTACTGTTACTAAGTGCTACTATCCCCATTTTACAGCTGGGGAACTGAGGCACAGAGAAGGTAAGTGACTTGCCAAAGGTCACACGGAGTCTGTGGCACAGCAGGGAATTGCACCTGAGTCTCCAAATCTTAGGCTAGCACCTTAACCACTGGAGCCTATTTCCTCAGATACATTATATAGGGTTTGAATTTCTGACCACTTGCATATAAAGCAAGAGACATTCCTCTGCTCTACCAAGCCCCTTTGATTCAGCCTTGTGCAAGGAATCGAGAACTCCTAACTTTAATCCTGTGTATCGGTTTCAACAAGTCACTTAAGGTGTGTCTAAACTGCATTCATGGGGTTTGAATACAGCTCCTGTAGACATACCTGAGCTTACTTTAGTCTAGCTTGCTCAGGTACTGATAGCAGTGAAGCTGCAGCAGCACAGGCTTCAGTGTATGCTGTACAAGCCTGTCTAGAACCCTGGATAATTACTCAGCTTGCAATCCTGTGCTGAAGCCTGCGATGCCGTGGCTTCACTGCCACTGGTACCCGAGCTAGCGAGGTTAAAACTAGCTCAAGTATCTCTGCACGAGCTGCAGTTATACTTCCAATTGCCATGTGTAAACACCCTGTATCTCTGCCTCTTTTGCCATCTACAGAGAGGGAATAATGCTTACCTAATTTCACAGGAATGTTGAGGATTATTGGTTTAATGCTTGTACAGTGGTTTGAAAATATAAGTACTCCACAAAGTACTAAGTTTTACAATGTGTGTTTTCCCTCATTAATTGACAAAATCTGAGCATATGGCGATGAAACAATGGAAGTTTAGTTGTCCTGTTTAACTTTCATACATTTGTTTTATATTCAGTTAGTACCACCAGTGTGCATGTAGGAAGACAAGGTCCTTAACCAACAGAATTTGAATCTAAATGCACAAGGAAGTCATCATCCAGAGATCACTCCTGCTCTGTGATGCATGTGTAAAAGAAACAGTGATAAACATCTATATCTTTAGTAGTAGATGTAATGAATTGATGTAAGGGGAAGGCATTAGACATACAGCAGGAATTCTTGTGTGTGTGTGACTGACTAAGCTGTTGTCTGCAGTGCACTAATGAATCACTGACCTATTACCAGGAATATCACTGAAGAAGTTGCATTAAGTGTTTATGCTAACCATATTTATTGTGTCCAGGTGTATAGTTTGTATGTTTAGATAAAAGTAAAAAGTGGAAATGTGCATGTCTCAAAGTGATGCCGCATCAAATCTTCAGGGAAATCATTTCTGATCGCAGCCATTATGATGAAATGCCAAAGTGTCCTAGATAAATTACTCTAATGTATCTAAAAATGTTTTTGTGCCTTATTTTGTAAGATGAAAAGGCAGCTCTGGATCAGAAGCCTTCTAAGCCAGTAGCTCCCCAAGTCCCACCCAAAAAGCCTGTTCCTCCAAGCAAGAATACTAATATATTTAAAGCTGGGCTTCTGCATCCAAAACGACCAGATAAACCAGTTTTACCATCACCTGTGTCCAAGTGAGTATATTTTTATCTAATTTTAACCCAATGGAGTAAATAGATTTCGTTGGTTTATGCTTGCATGTGCTTCATTGCTAAACTGTAAAACCTTAATTAATCTGAAGGTGAAAATGTCATAAGGATACACAGTGCTCTATACTTATCAATGCTTCAGAAATTCTCTGGGTGGTGATCAGCTTTAGCGTTTGTTAATTTTCTAATTGTCAAGTGACATTTTACTTGAATCAGATAAGAGGGAACCTTGCACTGTGACCTGCGTTCTGTGTGGACCTCTGAATCATTAAACTGCAGTGCAAGTTTTAAAGCTGCTGCATTTTGTGTAAGTTATGGCCACAGAAAATGAGTCACTAGTGGTGTTCTGTGGTGTGCTGGGTAGAGGAGCCTGTGAGCGTTACACTTAAGAAATTAATTACCACATTGGAGAGAGCCACACATCACTGTGTAAATGACCAAATTTCTCACTTAAGTATTGTCAGTATAACTCCCCACTCCTGGAGCGCACATGCCCTCACTGTTGAAGTCATTGTCCTGTAGAAAAGTAGTGACCATTGGGAACAGGTGAGTGAGGCCATATAAGGATGTGAAACTCCAAGATTCCTCAGTTCTTTTCAACTGCCTGAGTGGATTTAAATTCTCTCTGTCTTCCCTTCGTAGTTCATATTATAGCAGAGTAACAGCAACCACTGTTGTTGAAGTTGCATATCCGCCTCTATTCTAATCCTGATTTCTAACCACTAGTATTAAAGTTTAATTTAGCTTCTATTCTGACCCCCTGATTTTAGTCACTGACAACTTTCTGAAGTTTTATTTTTTCAGACTGAAATTTTTCCATGCCTGGTCTCTGCCTGATGAGGTGGCATTTTTTGTCAGTTTGAATAAAAACAAATCAGCTCTTTTTGCAGTGTAAGGAGAGTGTGAGAAAAAACACTGTCCCATTGTAACCAAACCAAAAAGTCTTGTGATCTTTTTTGAACAACTTTAAGGCTTGCAGGAGATGGTCTGTCTCCTGCTTCTCTCCTGAAGATACATCTACACTTATGGTGGCATGCGGAGTACAGACACTGCACACCCAACTAGCACGGGCATAAATAGCAGATAGTGTAGTTAGTGAGGCACAGCTTAGGCAAGTAAAGTGCCCTAAGGTATATACCCTACATAGCTGTCTGCACCCCCAAGCAGTACCTCCCACGTCTACACTGCTATTTTTAGCAGTGTAGTGTTCCACGGCTAGTGCCTTTCCCTGTCACAGGGAAAGGTTCTGGCAGGGGGAAGCAGCGGAAAAGTCTCTGACAGTGTGGAACGGCTCTGGCTGTTCCCGCTGCTTCTCCCCTGCTAGAGCCTTCCTTGCTGCAGTGAAAGCCTATGGCAGTGGGGAGTTGCTGGAGTCTTTTCCACTGGTCTCCCTCCCCACCCATCAGAGCATTTCATTGCCGCATGTGGTTACGCAGCACAGTGACAAGCGTGAGCTCAACCTGCTTTCACTATGGCATGTAGCTGCTGTGTCGTGTCTGTACTCAACATGCCATTGTAAATATAGATAAGGCATAAGATGCCTGGGACAGGTCACTCTTCCTTGGTATCTAGCCATACTGTGCATTATTCATGCACTATTGCAATTTTCTTTGCACATCAGGAGAACTGATGCTCAGTTCAGGACAGCAGTCCTACAGTCATTGTTTAACTAGTTCTCTTCAAACCTGACTCTTCACAGTAGCAGTTAATCTCTCAAGAATGGAGATCTTGAAGAGAGGTTACTAGCCAGTTTTAATAATTGGATCTTTGAGTAGATTGTCAGTGTAGATCCCCATTCACCATCCTTCTGTGCTGTAGGTTCTAAATGGAAGAAACTAACAGATGTGTAGGCCACAGCTCTGTACATAAGCTCACACTGAAGGTTTGATTCTGTGAGACTGCATGTAGAAGTTCCCAATGAAAACAACAAGGAGTCCGGTGGCACCTTAAAGACTAACAGATTTATTTGGGCATAAGCTTTCGTGGGTAAAAACCCTCACTTCTGCATGATGCAGATGCATCTGAAGAAGTGAGGTTTTTTACCCACAAAAGCTTATGCCCAAATAAATCTGTTAGTCTTTAAGGTGCCACCGGACTCCTTGTTGTTTTTGTGGATACAGGCTAACATGGCTACCCCCTGATACTAGGTTCCCAGTGGTTACTACTTTGAGCGCTCTGGCTTTCATGCAGCAGATGCATTTGCAATCCAAGAGTGCAGTTCTATACTGTTAATCTCCAGAGGGCCACCCATTCTTGGCTAGGTATTGACTTAATATTTCAGCAGACTTCAAGATTTATTGTTTTATAGGTAAAGTATAAAACAAAAATGTTTTTCAATTTGGGTAACAGTTGGTATTGGTCAGAATTCCAAAGGGGATATATGTGTATTGACAAATAATAAATTGTGGCCAGAGAATTTTAACATTCTTATGACTGAAAACATCCACAGCTGCTCAATATTTGACACTATCCTGAGTGAATGGGAGAAGAGAAGGCAACCCTGCTGCAATAATAATCCCCATGTAGAGAAATGGGGAAATGAGTGTAGAGACACATTTTAGAGGAAAGGGAACTAGTAACCTACATTTAACCTGTCAAACTGTTCAATTCACACGGCTTCTGAAATAAATTTGTTAGTCTCTAAGGTGCCACAAGTACTCCTGTTCTTTTTGCGGATACAGACTAACACGGCTGCTACTTTGTAAGCTTCCTAAGAAAGGAACTTTTACCTTTAGCTGCAAGATGCAGTTGGAAGAGCTGCAAAGGAATGGCTCATCTGTTTACTTTTGGTTCTAGGATGCAGGAAAATCTAGGAGTCTTTCACTGTCAGAACAGTAATAAAGGGTGTAGAGAGACTCTCCAATGTTAGAATAAGGACCATCTATACAGGATATTTAACAAAATGTAACCACCCATTCTAATCCATTAAGAATGTTTTTAAGGAAAAAAAAAATGAGGGTAATGGACCCTTCATACCTCACCTCTGAATGTTTCTGAAGTGGAGATATTGTTGAAGATGGTGTTCAGCGTTCTTGTCTTTTGTTTTGTTGCATTGTACTATAGCATTTTTTGTGCAAAGGGTTAGATTTGTTCATACAGTGTGCCTAAACGGTGATAAAATATTACCAAATGATGTCTTGAAGTACGCATGTGGAACTCCCACTGAAAGCCCTGCACATATCTGGAGGGCAGATTTTTGGCCATAAGAGTCCTAACAGAAGTAAATATGTTTGACTAGCACAACATTGATTTTATTTCTCTGTCTTGGTGTGAGAGCCAGTCTGTGAAATCATTTTTAAATCTAAATTCTTAAAGAACGGGAAACACTGACATTTTCCTCTCTGATTTTAACTCTTAATATGTTTTTGAATTATGACAGGTTTCAAATTCAGACTGCCTGTTTATTTCTTTACAGATCTAATGGGGAAGTGGTTTCCCTTCGACCGAAATCTGAAATTGAGCCACTAATAAAACCAAAGTTAGATTCTGAACATTTACCGCTTAGACCAAAATCAGTAGAGGTAGATTCAGTTGCAGTAAAGAGCTCTAAAGAACCAGGTAAGATGAAAAACAAATGAAAATACCGTACTGTAGAGCTTTTCTGAGCCTTTTCTATTTAGACTGGGATACCCTCATGGTATTAGAATAAACTTTTATTGAAGTATACACATGTTAATATTTAGTGCAAGAGCAGTTACATGTGTTAGGTTGGGAATACAATTTTTTAAATAGTTACTGCTGATAGCTCTTTTCTGTAACTGGGAAAAATAATGTACAATATTTATCAGGCTAATATGCATAGAACTGATAAGGCCTTACTTTGTATTGAGTTAGCTAGAAAAAATGAACACCTGTATAGTGGCTTCCTTTTTTCAATTAAAGGGATATTTTTGTCATTGCCTGACCTCCTATAAAAAGATTCCTTTTTTCTCTGTCGTTTTCTGTGCACCTTCCTGCTGTTTTTGCACATAGAATAACTTTTAATGAACCTATTTAATATCTTTACTACTGTTCATAACATTCATTTATAGTTTTGTGGAGTCTAGTTGACAACTTTTGTGGCTAGCTCCTTCATTAGTGCTTTACAATTTTGAATTTGAGTATTTTGTGCTCATGAAAATGAACTAACTCTTGCTAGTTGCACCTTGATCTTAATCTGACATCTGACTTGCAGTTCTACCCCTGTCTAATGAGAACTTCAAGTATTGCCCAGAACCAACAACTTTCTGGACAGATGCTATGCAAGCTCTCCCAACATAACTGCTACTAATATATTCCTTCCTTGTCAATAACATCACTGTGATCTCAATCCTGCGTGTGCCTCCTATTCAGAGGTTGCCTGTTCCGTTAAACTGGATGGTGACTTTTGTGATCTTGTGCAAACCTTCATGAGGGGGACTAGTTTTGAGAACACACAGTTCCTTCTGTACATCTGCTTATACCAATTTTTAACACTGGCCTCTAAATGTGAAATTTTCTAGTGCATTAAACCCACATGGTCTCAACCCAGGGTGACATCTTGGACATGACCCTTTAGAGATGTGTAACAGAAATAATTACTCCATTTCTAAAATGTGTAACTTCCCACCCAAATTGCACTGAACTAAGGTGTGAGGTGGAGAATGTTCAATTTTGGACTACAATTTTAAGGGTCATTATCTCATGGCTCTACAGGCCCTTTTCAATGAAAAGGGGAGGCTTCCAGTTTCCCCTTAGGATGTGCAGCACTTGCTTCTGTGCCTGCTGGATTCTGAGATGTGACTTTGAAATCATGACTTCTGTATAGAAAAGATAGTAACAATATTTTTAGTGGATTAATTCTATTAGTTAGTCATTCTCCCTCTGAACGTTGAACAGTTGAACTTAGTGTATAATAAGGCACCCTAAGAATATTGCAAGTAGTACCCACAAAAATGCTTAATATGTTCCAAATTATTTCTAAAATAGTTCTTTTTCTATGTTAAATGTGCCATCGCTTAAAAGTTTTATTTGGATTGCGACAGTGAAGTGACTTAATCAGTATCTGGTTAAGATTGGGACTTCGATAAGCGTAAACTGAACAAAGCTTTTTTTTCAGGCAAGAATGAATTAATGTTAGTAGGTTGGTAGATGAAATGACTGAGATACTAGCCCCTTTGCTTTAAAAGTGTGCCAGAAACCTGTTACTCAGGTTCCCTGTTTGGGGGTTGTATTAGATCTTGTGCTGTTCCTACATGGTCAGGTAGCAGGTGTGGCCAACAGCATGTCTTTGTCATCTTTAGGCGAGGAGAATGTGATGCTTTTGTTCAGATGTAGACCTTCCCTACAGTTATCCTTGCCTTTGTCACCCTGAGACTAGAATAATTCACTGCACTGAGTCAAGTCCTGTACACTGATGCCATTGGCTGTGTATTAGATATAGCTTTAAGGTTTTGACATAGGACCTTAAGAACATAAGAACAGCCATACTGGGTCAGACCAAAGGTCCATCTAGCCCAGTATCCTGTCTACTGACAGTGGCCAATGCCAGGTGCCCCAGAGGGAGTGAACCTAACAGGTAATGATCAAGTGATCTCTCTCCTGCCATCCATCTCCACCCTCTGACAAACAGAGTCTAGGGACACCATTCCTTATATCCTGGCTAATAGCCATTAATGGACTTAACCTCCATGAATTTATCCAGTTCTCTTTTAAACACTGTTATAGTCCTAGCCTTCACAACCTCCTCAGGCAAGGAGTTCCACAAGTCAGCAGAGGCACTCACGCTTACAGTACCCTGATTTCAGAGAGAGGGCGTTGGTATAGGATCCCCTCCATGACAGATCTTCAATGTACTCCCCATCTTACTGGTACATCAGGGCAGGCGTTTGATGACTTTCAGTGAGCACTGCAAGGCTCATGTATTTTGTGGGGGTTTAAGGAAGAGAGTGGATTGATGATGATTTGGAGAAAGTGGCTGTTGAATGTTAGTGATTTGTGGATAGGATTGATAACGGTGGGACATGCCTTTTTATTTCGTGGATGTTTATTCTTTAGTGTGGGTGCATGTTTCCTTTGAGAGAGAACTAAAAGTGTAGTTTTGGGTGGCTGGCTTTGTGCCGTCATGGTTCTGTCATGTGGGGTTTCATTTATCACTTTTTGTGCGTATTTGAGCTTGCTTGGAAGACTGGGCACAGATTGACATGCATTCAGTGTGCTGATGACATTGAATCTATCCTTCCCTTTCATCCAACTGATAGGGAGCAATTCTCTTTCTCCGTGTATGGTAGTGATTAGAGCTCTGATAAGAGTGGGCAGGCTGAGGCCAGGTGAAACAGAGGTTGTCATGTTATGTTTGGGGAAGCAATTGGACAATATGGCAAAGATTGTCACCCATTGATTGAAGGTGTGTCCCCGTCTTGTCAGCTGAGCATTCACTTTGTGAATCCTGTTAGACCCCTTGTCGTCATTAGGCAGCTATATAACAGAATTGAGCAGAATGGCTTTATTCCCTCCCAGGTGGGAAGGAAGTTGTAACCCTTTCTCTCAGGCCTGGACTATGTTACAGGCCTCCAGGGTTTTGTTGCTTGAAGTTTAGGCAATTCCAATACACCCTGTGGGGATCTGCATGTGGATACTGAAGTTGGGGCAGAAAGTGGTGAGCATATGGCACCAGTGCTCCGGGATTTGTATTGGTTGCCTGTTGGTTTCTGGATGGAGTTTAAGAAGTTGATTCTGATCTATAAAACCCAAATGGGATGAGTGATGGGATTTGAGCAAGGATCTGTGGATTTTTATTTGGCACAACTAGTTTTTGTGGGAGCTGAAGAAATTCTAGTTTTTGTGGATGGCAGAGAGATTGTTGGTTTGCTGTTGCTAATTTTATCTTGATATTCTTAATTATCTATCAAGGCTACCCACAGGCTGGAGTGCAGGCATTTTGTGCTTACATATTGAAATCAAAGCACAAGATTTTTTTAAATTTAATTGCCTATTTTGAATAAGAATAGAGTAAAAACATAAGTTAAAAGACTTCTCCTAGGTCGTATTAAATCACCAATGTCTCATATGAAACAAGCCTTCAAAAGTGATATTGTATCAGCCTGAAATGAAGGTAGGTCCCAATCCTTCAACTGCCTCACTATGAACTCAGGGCAACTGCTTGCATGGAGTCAGTTACAAGATCAGGATCTTGTATTGTAAATGCACATACACTGATTCTTAAGGCTTGTCAGTTTTACCTAAGATAAATAGATACGGTTAACTCAAAGTTTGGTATGTCCCCTTAAAGATCTTATATGTAGATGTGTTAGCTGTATGCCAAATCGCAAAGCAATGTGATAAATTTATTAGGTACCTTGGTTTGATCCACATCATCTGCTTTCTACCTACTGAACCCTGTGGAAATACCTCTAACACTGTACATTTCTGAGCAACTTCAAAAAGCTGCGCGCCCTCTCCTCTCCCCCCCCCCCCCAAATAAAAAATGAAGTGCCGCAAACTGTTTGCATATTTCAGAGGAGGAGAATTTTCTCACCGGGGGGAAAAAATACCCCTTTCTGAAACCCCACAACAGGCAAGATTCACCTCTGCACTTTTATAGCCCAGTATGTTTGAACTCATATTAAATAAGATACTTGACAGGAGTAGGAAAATTAGTCCCAATAAATATTTTCCAAACTCTCTCAAACCTCCATAAAATAGGTTTTATGTAACTTGTGTAACAGGCAGAGTGCATGGTGGCAAAGTGTGGCATAAAGGTTTTATCCATGGTTGCTTGTAATGACCTGCATAACTCATTCATGGCTTTACCGCTAGCATGTAATGCAGTCATCCCAACTCATGCCAGTGAAACCTATAAACCACACCACTGAAATTTCAGTATGTACTTCACTGCTATGGAAGTACCTATTAATGCTACAAAAACTGGGGCTGTGTAATGTCAAACACTTCAGTTGTCTGTGGCAATTTTAAGATTAACAAAATAATCTTGTAAGAGTCATGGTAAATAGAAAATGCAACACATGCCTTCACAGCCATAAGAGATGTCCTGTCTTCAGGTCAGATGACCCAAGCTTTGCTTTTCTAGTTAGTGTGTTATCACAACTTATTGGTGTGATTTCACTGAAGTGAATGCACAGAGGATGAATTTTTATCAAAATCACTAATCTTCCTTGTATCTCTCTAACTGGTCTGTAGCCATTTTAACTACCAGTCTTGTTTCTGGTCGTATAGGGTCTCAGAATACTTACTTAAATGAAAAATATTTGTTGGGCCCGATTTTTCAGACCTCAATGGTACGCTGCTGTTCAACACCTCTGAAAATCATGCCTGTTGCTATTAGCTCACCAATAAATACTTCAGAGATCATATTTGTGAAGACTTCTGAACACCACTTGTTGATGATTTATTTGAAAAGGACAGTAAAAGTTTCCCCCCTCGATTAGAGAGAGTTAAACCAAGACTGCAACAGACTGAAGAGTGATTCTGTGTGTTTGAGACATGAAGGTATAATAATATAGGTAATGCTAATATGCTGAACATGTGAAACAATTCTATTCCTTCTACAAATGTTTCTTTTTCCTGCTTTGTAAAATAATTTTTTTTTGGTTCAGAATCTTTTTTCTAGACATTCCTCTCCTTGACTTTTCTTTCCAGATTTTGTTTCCTATCCTGTTTGCCATGTTTCCCTTCTTACGTGTCAGGAAATTACCCTACCCTTCTCCATTTTGGTAAGATAACATTATATAAGGAAATCCAAACACTGTACATGTGTCATACCAGTACATGCACGTAGCCCTTTCTTTTTAGCAGCTCAGAGTTAATTTTCATTTGCAGTTGTATATACTAAAATTTGGTTTTTATTTTAAAATGCTTTTGTTTGTTTTGGATGCAGATTTTCCTTAGCTAGCAGACAAGACGTAGTTACCTTTAAATGCATTTTTAAAAAATTATGGGATTTCATAAAGTGTGCAAATATTTACACACAATTATTTAACCTGTCAGGTGAGGCCCCAAATATAGTTTTTGAAATGGGATTACATTTAATATTGATCATATTTCTGATGCGGCTGGGGTGGATGGCTTTTACTGCATCTTTGTACACACAAAATATCATCTGATTTTCAAGTCTGCTATGCACACTGATGGTTTTTGGTTTTGTATTTTTTAATTTTTGTATATTAAGTCTTAGAAACAAGTCTTTATAATTTACCCTGTTGGCTTCTTGTACTATAAAACTGTAATATATTGTTTTAAAAATTGAGTGTAATTACCTCCCATAACATGTAAACGTTCCTCTGATTTCATTTCCAATGATTTGCAGTGTACCATTTGTTTCTCCATACTTAATTATAGTTAATAACTTTAAAATCATTTTTTTTCATGGTTGAAGTCTTAATATTCTGGGTTTTATGATGATTGCCTTCTAATCTTTTGTGGGGATGAAGTTTAGTCTTAAAAGGGTGAAAGACAGCGCAAACAGCTGTCTATCTCTTCTTGCTATGGTATGAATGTTGGGTTTCCTCATTTCATATAATTGCAGTGTAGCTAACCCTGGCAACTTCAGGGGATTAATTCACTTCTTCATTCACCTCTCATTTTGTTGTTGTGCCTTGTGGTTCTTCAGACAAATGGAAATAGTATATGCCAGACCACTGGACACTTTCACTACCAAAATTCACCAACTATTGCTGGATACATTATTGACTGCCATTTTTCTGACTGACTGAATCTTTTTCTATTTTATTATATGCTTTGTCCCAACTTGCTCATGACCCTGCTATAATGTACAGCTCCAGATTTAGGTAGTGGTAGGTGTTCTCAGTAGGCTGCTTTCTCTGACTTCCATGGGGTCAGAATTCACCCATTATAGGTAATATTATACAAAGGTAAATAAAACCTCTTGCATCAAGTGGTCATCATCATCATCATTATCATCATCACTCCCATAACCGCATTGGTCGTTGGGGCACCATCACTGATGAGCAATCAGCCAATTGTCCCCACCCCAATGATTGTGTCAGTGCTTGAATCTCTGCGAAGTCCATTCCTGTCGACTCTTTTATGTTGTCAATCCATCTCTTCTTCTGTCTACCTCTTCTTCTCCTCCCCTGTACTGTCCCTTGGAGGATGATCTTGGATAGGCCAGAACATTTTGTTACATGGCCATACCACTTAAGCTTGCGCTTCTTCACGGTCGTCAGGAGGTCTTCATATGACCCAGCACATTGGGTGATGATGTTGCAGACCTCTTCATTAGTGACATGGTCGAAGTAGGAGATGTCCAGGATTTTACGGAAGTATCTCATCTCTACTACCTGTATTTTCCGTTCAAGTTCTGCCGTAAGGGTCCATGTCTTGCACGCACACAGAAAAATGGAGATGACCAATGCGTGCAGCAGTTTGTTTGGATTCCAGGGAGATGTTCTTATTTCTCCAAATTGGCTTTAGCTTTGCCACTGCTACTGTTGTTTGCGCAGTTCTTGCCAGAATTTGAATAGAGCACTCCCTTTGTTATTTGTATTGTGATAGCACTACATTACACTTGGCACTTTACTGAGGTGTAACAACAGTCTGTCCCAAAGAGTTTACAGTCTTAAAGCAAAGAAACAGTTCTACGGATCATCCCAGTACTACCATAATGTACCACAGGCAACAGGTGCAGTCTTGGACTCTGTTTCTCCCAAGTCTTCATGAAATATTGCTCTCTGGACACAAATGGGTCTCTTAAAACGTCAGTGCCTAGCATGTGACTCGACCATGGGAGACAGGCTGGCATCCTTCACGATGTAATGAAGTAATTCAGTTTGTGCACCTCTTTAAGCTTACTGCTCCATGGTTCCTCCTTCCTGCTGCTACCGCAGGCAAAAGGAAACTTCCTGAGACAGGAAGAATATATAAATACCATATTTTAGTCCTTCTTCCTTTTCTCATCCTCATTGTTACTCTAATACATAACTAACTAACGGAGGCCCAGGTTTACTTTTTAACACAGGTTTCTGCTCTGAGATTAGGTGGACCATTAAGAATATGAAGGTGTCTCCTTGACAGCTACTGCAGGACATTTAGCAAATTGTATACTGTATTGTACCTGACCTTTTTATCTTGTGGCCATCCTTTTCTTCTCAAACTGCCCTCTGCATCAGTCTCCTTATCCCCGTTACTCTCTCCTTTCCTCACCTCTCAGATTTCTCCTTCCATTTCTCACCACTCATCTCTGTTCCCTTTACATCTACTTTTCCCTTCTGTTGCCAGCATTAATATACATTTACAAAGGGTGATAAGTGCCCTTAAAAATCCCTTAGTAGAATTTGTCCAGTTTAGCTAAGCAACAACTAAAAGGAGGGATAGGCAAGTCGAGATATCTGAAAGGTGTAATCACCAAGAGGAAGCAAAATTTCTTAAGGATATACAAAGCTGTGTAGCTAAAAGTAATGGAAAGACACTTCAGTTGGTTTAAATGTTCAGGGAAAACTTCTAATAGTGAGATCTCAAGTCTATGAATGCCCCATCACTTGAGCCATTTGAAATTCTCCTGGATAAAACACTAAAGTACTATGGAAAGACCCCGAATAGGTCTTTTCCATCTATGATTTCTATGATACTTAGAGCTTGACGATTGATGAGGAAATCTGGAAGGATAATGTAATAAATAGAGAATGAAGTTAAATATTAGCTGCTGATCTGCCAAATGCATTATGATGTATTGAAGTTATATGATGCGGAACCAAAAACACTAAGTGTGTATTGACTTGCATTCAAGTCCATATCAAGATTTGACTGTAGAGATAAACATTAACAGATGATAAATTTTAACCAAAATGGAAGTCAGTATGTATTATGCAGATATCTTACAAATTAAAATACTCTTTTGTAATACATGACATATAATATTGTGATAATGATGTTTAAGTGCTTTACAAACGCTTAAGCCTGACTACACCCTTTTCAGATTGGTACACTGAGAGGTTAATTAACCTGTAGCCACACAGTGGATAAACTAGCTTTAACTACTTCAGTTTTAGCACTCTAAAATAATTTACTTGTACTGTTAAATGGTGTTTTGTCCTAATGGATATTTGTGTCCCTGGAGTGTAAATAGTTGACACTTATCTCAAGGAGCAAGGAGGAGTCAAAGAATGCAGGGAAACAATACTTAAATTACCAGGTTCTTTATGTAGTGTCACAAGCACAGGCAGATTCACACCTAACATGAAAAGATGTCTAAGCTAGCAGAAAGTGAAAATAAATGAAACATTTAGAATGTTTGACTACAAATCTCTCGGACGCTTGCAGCTTGTCTGTACACAAGTTATTTATTGTACGTATAAAGCCTGCCGAAATTGAAGGTGAGAGCTAACAGGAGCCATTTTTACAACTAGATGTACACATTTAAGCAGGTTTAACATGAGTGAATGTATGCCACCTATTTTATCATTCCTCTTGAGACCCTTAGTAGTGACTTAAAACTTTCTACATTGTTTCTTCTGTTAGGGTTCCATTAAATTTTGATTCACATGCTTAATTTCAAGAGCATCAAGATAGGAAAATACACTATTCGAAAAACTCTTAAAGGATCTAAACTGACATGGCTCAAAATTATTATGCTATTCTGAATTTCCTTCAAAAATATGTTTCAAGAAACAATTATGTATTTTCCTCAACACTTGAGGTTGAAATCTGCTTCATGTCACCTTCTCTCTTGAGCCTCTCTTGTTCTGGTGGGAATATGAATTTGAATTCCTTGTTTTTAAACTGTTTTATTAGCTAATAGATGCCAATTCTCTCTAGTTTCTTTAATGAAAATGTTGTTTTCCAGACTTACTAAAAGCATATGACAGTTATTTCTTGCATATCCTAAGAGCATAGTGTGCTGAAAGTCTTTTGAATGTACTGTTGTTCTGATCAATTCTCTTCTCCTTAATGATTTAAAAAAAATTGTTTTCTACTTCCTGAGAACCTTTTGAACTTAAAGGGGGTCTGTGTTCTCACCTTCTTCTAGATCTTTTAAGTTTTGATGTAATAGCTACCTCAGATAATCTGTCACACCCTACTGCAAGCAGACCAAAGATGCCTGGCAGGAGGCTGCCTACTCGTTTCAACGGCAATCATTCTGTGAGTACATTGACTGTATTATTCTGAAGATAAATTTAGGAGAATTTTATTGGATAACATCACTCTAGGGAAGTCATTTCATTAGCAAATGCCTAAGAGAGTATTGATAGGAACATGTATCCACAAAAGGAAAAGTAAAGATGAAAATGAGTATAACTGAATATAGCAGCATCACAACTGCAGTTAAAAAAAAATTAGATTTTCCTATCTATTCCATTGGGTTTTGACATTGTTTCCTATTTCCCTGACTACTCAAATAGTGCTCCAGTTGCATCAATAAAAGAAATTTCTCATTGTGGACTTTTTATATTTCAACTCCAACAGTGTCCTCTGTTTTACAAGAGTAAGAACCCATAGTCCCTGCCCAGGGAATTTACAGTTTAGCGTAGATTACTGTTCAGACATGCAAGATATCAAATGCCAGGATGAGTACATCTTGGAGATAGAATATTTATTTGTTTATCTTTATGAAGTTATGTCAATTGAACTGTAATGGAGTCATGTGACATTGTGGGGTCCACACAGACCAGCAGTGGGTTTTGTTACAACCTGTCATGTAACTTTGGGGTCCTTTGTGCTGGTTCAATTCCCTGACACCAGTAGCCTGCCCACAAGCACAAGGTCTCACCCTGGCTCTCTCTAGTTTAGGTAATGTCAACAGCACTTCCAATCCCAGGTCTCCCTGAGTTCTTAATTACCAGACACACTCAGATTGTTCCCCTCTGGCTCCTCACCCCCGAAGGCGTGAAAGCAGCAACCGCCCTCCCTCCCCAGTTATCAGTGCACTTTGGCACACACTCTCCATACAGTTTGCACACCAGAGAACCTTGTTCGGATAAAAATAAAAAGTTTGTTTAATAGAAAAAGCACAGTCTCAAAGAAGAAATAATAAGGGAAAGCACACAGAAAATAAACGGGGAGGGGATAGCTCAGTGGTTTGAGCATTGGCCTGCTAAACCCAGAGTTGTGAGTTCAATCCTTGAGGGGGCGGGGCCACTTAGGGATCTGGGGCAAAATCAGTACTTGGTCCTGCTAGTGGAGGCAGGGGGCTGGACTCGATGACCTTTGAAGGTCCCTTCCAGTTTTAGGAGATAGGATATCTTCATTAATTTATTTAAATTTAAATCTAAAGACCTAACTTCAGGCTTTCCACTTTCATATCAGATAAACATCTCTCTTCTAATAAGAGTTACCTCTTGCCTTAAAACAGCTTCTTACTATATCCCCTAGCTATGAGGGATCCAGCATTCATGGACAGCCCCCACCTTGAGACTGTCCCCAAGTTCTGCATGCTCTTCATTTTTCAAAGACCGCGGTTTTCTTTTCAGTTTCAGGCTGTTCTCATTTTGCATTGATGGTTCCTCATTGTTTTTTCCTGGGCTTGGACAATGGCTATGTGCTTGAAGGCAGTCTCACCTGGGTGGAGAGGTAGTCTCAGCCTGCCTGATTGCTTCACTGCCCTGTTGTGAGGTGATACTGAAGTGGCACCACAGTTGCAATTAAAATTATTATATATACAATCACATACTTTCATAACTATAACCTGTATGCATATCTCGTAATGACTATTAAGTTCATTACAGGCTTTCATAAAAGATCCTTACCCATTATATTCTTATAGTAAAATATTATAGTACGCTATCAGTTGGGTTAGCTGCTTATTTGGGTGGGGTCTCAACCTTTTTTTCCCTTGAGGTGTCCGATTGTCCAAGTCCTCAGTCTGTTACAACTCTTTTTAATGTGTTTGTATTGCAGTTGTGTCCAAAGACCCCAATCAACATCAGGGTCTCATTTTGCTAAGCATTGCAGAAACATACATAGTTCCTGCCCCAAGGAGCTGACAGCTAATTTAATAAACATTCGGGGGCAGGGAGGAGAAAGAGTGTGGAAGACAGAAGAGGTTAACAATATTTTAGAAATCAAGTTAAGATCATCAGCGGTATTTCTGACAATATGCTTCAGTTACTGTTCTTACTTTACTCCCAGGGCTAGTCAGTTATTTTTTATCAAGGTAAAGTCAAGGTCCAGACTCCAGAGAAAACAATAATAAAAAATAACAGTGGTAATAATAAGTAAATACAAAGATTTTTGGGTCCATTCAAAAGTGTCTGGGAATCTGGATTTAGCCTGGGGTCCCCCTATTGACTGCCCTGTTTTACTCCATCCCACTTAATAATTATATTGTAAGTTTTATCTATTCTGCACACATTCTATTTAGTATGCATGTTTTTATTTACCAGCCAACTCAAAATGAGAGTACAGAAAAAATTGTGAAGGAGCATAAAGAGGAGGAAGAAAGTGCCAAGCCAAAGCCATCTGAAGTTAAAAAGGTATGAAGCTGAAATGATCAGATACACATATCAGACTACTAGCAGTGCCATTCACTTTGATTGTATGTGCACATGCTGATTAATGCAGCCATACAGATTGCATTGATACAGGAGTGACTAGTTTTATATTGGGTAGCACAGAACTACACTTCCAGTTCCAGGAGTAAGTTGGATGTCTGCTCTGCCACCTAGCTCCTGGATAAAGAAAAGCAGGTTTGAGCAGAAGAGGCATGCAGAATGGCATAGCTTGACCTCCGTTACCACCCTGGAAGCTTCCTTAATAACTGATTTCAGTTCTTGAAAGATAAGAGAGCTGGTGTCATCCTGGATTTTCTGGATAGTTGGTAAAAACGTCTGTGAATTTTACTTCCAAAGTAAATCTGATGGCAGGAGGCCAGGATTGCCAATGAGCAGTTACAGAAAGGTGGGGGAGTGTGTTGAGAGTGGGCAACCCAATGTGAAGAGGGAGGCCAACCCCTCCCCTCACTCCAGGGACAACTTCTATGATTCCTAGCAGAGCCCCACCTCTCTCTTGGGACAACATTATGAAAAGTGCTTTCTGCAAAGGACTCCTCCTAATCTTAAGTGGGCTGCTCCTCTTGGGTAAAACTGCCTCAGTTACTGCCTCTGGTACATTGTTCTCCTACTGTGCCCGCCTGAGCTCCTTCTTCCTCCCTGCCTGGGTGGCTGTAACCTCAGACCGATGGTTCCTCAGCACAGTGAAACAGGTTATACCCTCCAGTTCCTTTCTACCCCCCCTTCCCACTTGCCTTCCCTGTCCCTCTTCAGGGACCCCTCTCATGAGAGTCTCCTCGCACAGGAGGTAAAGGGGTTACTACAGCTGGGTGTGGTGGAAGAAGTTCCTCTCGAGTACAGGAACAGGGGGTTCTAGTCACCGTACTTCTTAATCCCAAAGGCCAAGGGTGGTCTGTGGCCCATCCTGAACTTGCAAGACCTCAACAAGTACCTAAAGAAGTTAAAGTTCCGCATGGTTTCCCTGGCTTCTATTATCCCCTCACTGGATCCGGGAGACTGGTATGCCGCCCTGGATTTGAAGGATGCATACTTCCACATAGTGATCTTTCAAGGGCACAGACGCTTCCTCCGGTTTAGGGTGGGGCCCCACCACTACCAGTTTGCGGTCCTCCCTTTTGACCTGACAACAGCACCGAGAGTGTTTACCAAGTGCATGTCGGTTGTAGCGGCTTACCTCGGCACTAGGGTATTCAGATCTACCCGTACCTCAATGGCTAGCTCATCAAGGGCAGTTCCAGGTCTCAAGTCCAAAGGGATGTCGCGGTGCTTCAGACCACGTGCCACTCTCTGGGCCTACTGGTAAATGACAAAAAGTCGATGTTAGTGCCAGTGCAGAGGATAGAGTTCATCAGAGTGGTCCTCGACTCGACCTGTGCCAGGGTGTTCCTGCCACTGGAAAGGTTCCACACGTTGATGAACCTCATCATGGAAGTCTCCACGTTCCCTCTGACTACAGCCAGGGTCTGTCTGCACCTCTTGGGTCGCATGGCAGCGTACACTTAGGTGGTCCGCTGTGCCAGGCTCCGAATGCGGCCCTTGCAACAGTGGCTGGGGATGGTCTATTCCTAGTCCAGAAACCCCCGGAAAAGATCGTTACCATTCCCCAGGTGATACTTATCTCGCTGTGATGGTGGACCGACCACAGAACAGTCCTGGAGGAGGTTCCATTTGACAACCCCCCCTCACTCCATCGAGTTGATGTCAGATGCCTCGGCCCTCGCTGGGATGCACACTGTCTACATCAACAGGCAAGGGGGAGCGTGGTCGTCGACTCTGTCAAGAGGAACTCCATCTGTGGGACTTCTGCATCAGCCACGAAATCCACCTGGAAGCTTGTCACCTTCCTGGTGTCAAGAATATGCTGGTGGACCAGCTCAGCAGGGACTTCCCTTCTCACCACGAGTGGTCGCTCCATCCAGAGGTAGCCTGCTTGATCTTCCAGAGGTGGGGAACCTGTTTGTTACCAGACAGAACAGGAAATGCCACCGGTTTTGCTCTTGGCAAGGTCTGAGTAAGGGCTCCCTCTCCGATGCCTTCCTCCTGTCATGGCCAGGGAACTTGATGTACACATTCCCTCTGATTCCACTCATCGGCAGGGTCCTGGCAAAGATCAAGAGAGACAAAGCGCAGGTTGTTGTGATCGCCCCGGGGTGGCCTCGCCAAAATTGGTTAGGCATGCTCATGAACTTGTCAGCGGCCCCTGCCCAACCACCCGGACCTGCTGTCACAGGACCACGGTCGACTCCTACACCCCAACCTAGAGTCCCTCCACCTCTTGGCATGGATGCTGCGTGGTTGAACCCGAAGGAACGGACCTGTTCGGAAGGAGTCCAACAGGTCCTCCTGGGGAGTAGGAAGCCCTCAACCAAACTGACTTACTGGGCCAATTGGACGAGGTTTTCCCACTGAGCGTCCGAGCACGGCATCTCTCCCTCACGTTCTTCCATACAGGCTGTCCTGGAGTACCTGCTCCATTTGAGGAACCAGGACCTGGCACACTTCCATTAGAGTACATCTAGCAGCCATCTCCGCTTTTCATCCGCCGATCCAAGGACAGACGGTGTTTTCCCATGACATGACAGTCAGATTCTTGAGAGGGCTCGAGAGACTCTTCCCGCAGGTACGGACTCCTGTCCCACAGTGGGATCTTAACTTGGTCCTTTCTAGTCTCACCAGCCCACCCTTTGAGCCACTGGGTTCTTGCTCCCTTTCACACCTGTCATGGGAGGTCGCTTTCCTGGTGGCGTTGACGTGGGCAAGACAGGTCTCTGAAATTAAAGCCTTGACTTCAGAACCAATATGTGGCAAGCCATGGTCAAGTTCGAAGGGTCACTCCCCAAGGCTTCCAAGAAGGAGTTTCAAGCAATCCTTAATGAGGGCACGACCCCGGCCAGGGTGGACCTCCAGGCAGCGGCAGATGCTGCGGACACTGCTGCCCACACCATGACTTCTACTATCTCCATGCGGCGAGCCTCTTGGCTGTTCCTCTCTGGGTTGTCCACCAAGGCTCAGCAGTCAATGCAGGAACCTGCCCTTCGACGGCTGGGCCCTATTTGCAGAGCAAACAGACAACAAGTTGCATGGCCTTAACGACTCCCACACCACCCTAAAAATGCTAGGTCTCTATGTCCCAGCCCTGGTGCATAAGCAGTTCAAACTGCAGCAGCCGCAGGGCCAGGGGAGCCAGCCTTGGCAGGACCAGCCCCATAAACGAGCCAAGGGCTACAAGTGCCACCCGAGCTACCTGCCTCCACCCTCTGCCCAGTCGGGCTTGACCCGTAATAAGCAGGGGGCCAAACTCGACGAGAGCACAGGCGTCTTTGGCGGCCTTCCTGGCGGACATCCCTATCCAGGACATCTGTAGAGCCGCAACGTCGTCCTCTGTCCACACATTTACCACTCATTATGCCATCACTCAGCAGGCCAGAGACGACGCTGTGTTCGGCAGAGCTGTGTTGCAATCTACATGTCCGTGAACTCCTACCCACTCCAGGGGTACTGCTTTGGAGTCCCCCAATATGGAATGGACATGAGAAGCACTCGGAGAAGAAAAGACAGTTACCCTTCGAGATGTGTTGCTCATGTCCATTTCATAACCGCCCTCCTTTCCCCACTGTCTGAGTTTCCGGCAAGAAGGAACTGAGGGTGGGGGGAGCCAGCGGCACCCCTTATACTGCGCTATGCGGACGCCATTCCAGAGGGCCCCAGAGCCAGTCCCCTATGGATACTGCTGAGGGAAAAACTTCCAGCACCGGTGCATGTGGCGAGCACGCTCACCTAATATGAATGGACATGAGCAACATATCTCAAAGAACATCAGTTACAGAAAAGGTAACAGTCTTTTCTCAAGGTAGTAGTTCCAGCTAATGGGAGACACGCCAGACAGGCTCTTTGGCCTTATACATCCATTACTGTCAGAACATTATCTGGCACAAATATGTACTGCCTTGTAAAATGGAGTGTGCTTCCTGTCACGTCTTCTGTAAAAGATTGAAATGCCTGGAGTACGTGAATGTGCTGTGTACACTACAAAAACCAGTGTTACAAGTTGGATAGTTCTGTGTACCATTTTTATAGTGTAATACATTGGGTTGAAACAATACTTGTAAGAAAAACACACGATTTGTGTGGTGTGTTCTCCCCAATTTATAGTGAATTCATTGTTACCTTTTTATTGATTTCTTTTAGTCACCTGTGTTCACTTCAACACCTCTATCTTCATCTCCAAGACCAAATTCTATTCTACTCAGTTCTGCTCCTGGAGAAATCACAGTTAAAGACCAAACGGAAGGGGGCGGAAATTCTGTGGATGATCTCAGGATTCAGATTAATGAGTTGTTGAGTATTGTAGAAGCACTGAAAAAAGATCATAGGTAAATATCATTTAATTCCTCTTACCCCTCAATTGAATATATTTAACAAATTCTGTTCTAAATATTATTGTATACTGGAACATTTCTTTTCAAAGGTAAGCTTTCCATATTGATCACTCTGCATTAGGCACCTTGCTTTAAAAGTTCACCCAACAGGTTTATATAATGAATATATATTAATTTTTGTTCAGAAATACAGTAACTCCTTACTTAAAGTTGTCCCAGTTAAAGTTGTTTTGCTGATCAATTAGGGAACATGCTCGTTTAAAGTTGTGCAATGCTCCCTTCTAACGTCGTTTAGCAGCCGCCTTCTTTGTCCGCTGCTTGCAGGAAGAGCAGCCCATTGCAGCTAGCTGGTGAGGGCTTGTAACCAGGGTGGACCGGCAGCCCCCCTATCAGCTCCCCACTCCCCTAAGTTCCCTGTGCTGCAGCCGCCTGGCAGGCTATCAATCGGCAGTTCAGCTGTCCCTCCCCGCACTGCCATGTGCTGCTCCTGCCCTCTGCCTTGGAACGGCTCCCAGAGACTCCTGCTTGCTGTGCAGGGGGGGAAAGGGGGAGGCTAATGTCAGGGTGTCCCCCTCCCCCCTGCTCCTGCACCTTCTCTATATAGAGCAGGGAGGGGACACCGACGGAGAGAGACAGAGAGAGAGCTTGGAGCAGCAGCTGCTGTCTCAACTTCCTGATCCACTTTAAAAGACAATGCACTTAAGAGTGAGTCAGCTTACTTAAAGGGGCAGTGTGCCCCTCTCTCTCTCTCTCTCTCTCTCTCCCCCACACACACAAGGTGTGTGTCTGTCTCTGTCTGCTATGCTGTCTCCCCTCCCTCCTGTTCATGCTGCCTTGATGAGCGGCTACATTAACAACAATGTGTTAACCCTTGAGGGCTCAGCCGAGTGCTAGTTCATCATTTAGCAGCAAGGCAATTCCTGGGAAATATCCCTCCCTCTTCCACCCTCTAACTTCACCACCTCAATCAAGCTTCACAATCATCATAGCTGTGAACAGTATTAAATTGTTTGTTTAAAACGTATAGGTGTGTATATCTATATAATATATAGTTTTTTTTGTCTGGTGAAAAAAATTTCCCTGGAACCTAACCCCCCCTATTTACATTAATTTTTATGGGGAAATTGGATTTGCTTAACATGGTTTCGCTTAAAGTTGCATTTTTCAGGAACATAACTACAACGTTAAGCAAGGAGTGACTGTATTGCTGAGGTTGCATTCTTCCTCCTTTTGTGTTTTTCTACTTTTTTTATCACCATTACAAATGTTCCGTAAATGGTTACTCTTCAAGCAAAAATAAAAGTTCTTGTAACAAAGAGGTAGCGATCAGCAATGCTCTTTCAAAATTCAGCTCAAGATGTATGTAAATAAGACCAACCCTCTAAAGGGTCTGTCCTGTCCCAATATTTTACATGAATTGTTTTATAAGAGTAATATTGCATGGAAAATATTCCTAAGGAATACTTAAATATGTATAGCATATATGTGATACAGTGTTACCAAGAATCTGTTATGTGAATTAATTCCCCTATCAGTGGCAATTTTAGTTCTCAACACCATAAGATAGATAGACCATGTTTTTTTTATTTTCAGTTGCAATAATATTTTAATTTTGTTTATAATTTATAGCAAAGAACTGGAAAAACTAAAAAAAGATTTGGAGGAAGAGAAAATGATGCGAAGTCTCCTAGAGGTAATTTTAGCTATGAGGACAGTGTATAGATATGTGTATACGGTACTCTGATGATACCAGAGGGCTAATGAAAACCTTTAACAGTCTTGTTTGATCTCTGTATCATTAGTATGAATCTGAATGATTGCCTAGTAAAGTGGAAGCTGGTATGGGGAATTATATTTTATATATGAAAGACTAAAAGCTAGAAAAACCTATTCTCCAAATGCAAAGTAGAGGTTAGCCACATGTGTAGGTCTGGAGTAGAGTTCAATAATATCCACAATACACTGTGTACCTGTTCTGTCCTAGAGCTTCTCAAGTAGGCAATTTTAAGAGGCTTCAGTTATTCTGCAACGAAACATTTTTAAAGCAGTGTTGAAAATCATGGATATGAGAACTGAACATAGGGAGAAGTCAAGTTTTTATAGATCTGGTTTTAAAAAAAAAATGGGGGGTGGGGGTGGAGACAAGACTCATGGAAAATTTTGTCAAAAATTTCTGATTTTTTTTAACTCAAAATTTCAAGTCATAAATCAACTGTAATTTTTAAATATTCTGGGGGCCAGTAAGTAAGAATAACTCAAACAGAATAATAAGGTTTTAGTGGCATGTAGGTACATATACAGTACAGTAAGCTTTACAGACTTGTTTTTTCTCTCTTTAAGCTGTGTTGAAAAAACAATCTGTTTTACAGGGAATAATTCTGAGTACATATCACTTATGAATACTGCATGTATGGAATAGTTGATATGGGTTCATCCTAGGTGAACATTTATACACAATCTTATTTTTAGACAGATACAAAAGGGGCCCTATTTGAAAGTATCCTTCAACTCAGCAAAAGGTGCAATTTCACAAATTTGAAAAGACCATGAACCATATTCTGTTCTAACAGATTTTTACTAGTGTACCTCCATAGTAATCAATGGAGTTCTTTCAGATTTGCAGTGGTGTAACTAAGACGAATATATTTCACATTATCATTTAGTATGGTAGGCTTGGTGTGAAATTTTGTACATGATCCATTTTAGGAAGAAAGTCTGAGATGATGCACCAACCCACATAATCATATAATACAGGAGAAGTCATTTAAACAATTGAATTCAGAGAACAAACTTGTTCTGTGGTACACTTTAATCAGAACCAACTAATTCAATAAAATTTACCATACAAATAGACAATATGTTTTTTAAAATATATCTCGTAAGCCATGGCTACTTAGCTGTATGTTGTTGTTAAATTGTTAAATCCATTTTTAATAATGAAAGTTGCTTAGCATGAATTGCAAGGAAAAATTGCTGGAAAGATTAAGATTTTGGTAAAAATCATGTAAATTAAAGATACTGATATTGGGCAGTTCATTATTCTCATAATGTCTTTCTTTTCCAGGCTGAAATAGAAAAGCTGAAGAAAGCAGTCATGTCTACATGAGTCAGCCACAGACTGTGTCCTTAACTTGCCAGGAATTCAAACGCAGAATACAAATAGAACTGACTTTTTTTTTTTAGTTCAGTAAAATGAAAGCTGGTGTTCCATGGGCTTAGAGGGGGGGAAAAGAGTAAAGAGGAATATAGTCTTGTATTCAGAGAGACAAGAAAAAAAAAAGATTGATGTAATTTTTTTTGCCAATATAAAAGAGGCCTTATTTCTTACTGTGCTGGAATTGCAGACCTTTATTTTCCGGTTTGCTTGAAAATACTACTGAATCTGTATAAAAAGAAGAGGGAGTTCTTAATAGATTTTTATTGAATACTTGTAGTGTAATTTTTAAAGAGATCTATACTATAAATAGGGTGATATATCTTTACAAGTAATCTGTAAAATAGTCAATTGGGAAGGAGGGAGTAACCTAATAGTAATTGTAGTCTACTTTTCCCAGACACCCAAAAGGGAATATATGATATTTGTATATTATTTTTTAATTTTAGCATTCTTTCCCAGGATTACACTGTTGTGCCTGTCTGCAGTGAGAGTATTCGTAATATGCTGTTTTATAATTTGGGTGATGAGACAAGAATTTGGTGGTCCTATGTGGCAGATTAATCGCCTATGCATAGTAGTAATTAGTGATCTAATCAAAATAGTTTATTAAACAGCAAACATTTTGTCACTTGCACTATAGGATTTATAAAAGAGATTTATGATTGAACCATAAAACTATAGTAGGACAAAGTTAATTCTTAAAGCCACAAAAAAAGGAAAAAGAAATCCAGAGTTAAGGCTAAATCCTGTTGTGCCTAGGTATCGTAGCACATACGACATGCAAAATCAGCCTTAACTTTGGGGGTTTTTTTTTGCTTTTCTGAATTTAAATCTAGCTCATCAGTCTTCAGTGGTTTGTTTCTTTTTTGCAGTAATAGTAGTATTAAAAAAGAACTTTTTAAAAGCTTCCTTCATATGAATTGCAACTTTCAGAGTCTTCAGTCAGCCATATGCATATACACATACAGGTTCATACAGTCTTTAAAATTGGGTAGTATTACTCAACAGACACGGATGGCTCCAAACAAATCACTTTGGGCTCTTATGTAAATATTGAGACTTTTTTCAAAGCGTATTACTTATGCCATAAACCATAAGCTCTCAGTATGTTATGTAAATCCAAATGTAATCACATTTTAAAGAAATATATATTTTCACATGATAGATTGGAACAGCTTCTGATGAATCATTGTGCTGATCTGACACAATGTCTTTCATGTATTCCCCATGGAAAAAAGTTGAAAACTTGCAGGTCACATTGTACCTAACCCCCCCCACCCACCCACCCCGGGAGCAATGCAAATATCCAAGTAATAAATACTGAAAAACTATTCCCCGCTCTCTTCCTCCCCCTTAATTCATATTTTATTAAAGCTATCCACAGTTGATACAAATCTACAATATTTCCAGCTTTTTAAATAGAAACCCTAATTAAAATGCATTGCTTCAATTAAGCAACAACCTCCTCATCTCTGACCTAGCGGAATATAGCGTGCCCCCTAGTTTGACAAGCTCACCAATAAATAGTCTTGGCTTGTAAAACACCATTTAGATTTCTATTCATGTGAGTACAGTAGGGGTAGTAATGTAGATTCATGAAGTAAAGTGAAAGCTTTTAATAAATCATGAGAACACTTTTCCATACGTGGTGCACAAGAAGTGGCAAACATCTAAAGAGTGAATTGCATGATGTTGGTCTGCAGTTGCTGATTGCATTTTTCATGAAATCTGAATAGTAAATATATTATACAAGTTTTAGGTTATATTTCTGAGAAATTGCTAACCAGCTGGTTCAATATTAACTCTTAATTGCCTTGACGCATCACAAATGAAGACTTAAGCCACAACTTTATATCCAGGAATAATGGATAGCAGTAGTGTGTCTGACACTAAACCTTGCATTTAGAACTCTTTTACCTCTTTACTTACAAAGTTTGATAATGCAAAGCAAGAAATGAGCCTAGTGAAATAGAAGATTCTCTATTTTATAAGCTCTTCACTGTGACCAGAGCATAAAACAAGTCCTATGATAGGTTGCTCTGATGATTATCATGTCTGCACTTAAGCTTGTAGCAGACGAGCGGAACAAGACAATCAGTTAAATCAAAAATTGAAAGGTGTTGTAAGAAGTTAATGGCCTTTTTCGCTGTAGCAATAAATGAGCAAGTGCAATGACTTGATTTAATAAAAATCATCTTTTAAAAGTCGCTGCTATGAGTATTTTTAGCCATAAAGAAGTCGGCCTAATACATGTCTGTCTTATCTATGATTAGTGTTGTGTAATACAATGGAGGTGGGAAGGGTAATGTTTATACAGACATTCCACAAAATACAAGTTCTTTAAAGCATAATGCTTCACTGACTTGTTTACAGGTGCTGTAAAAATCATGCATGCTATCAAAACTCCAGCAAATAAAAAAAAACAAACTACAGTTGGTATGTTTGCTTTTTTGTTGTTCAAGGAAGTTTTGAATTTTGTCTTAAACACAAGCTTGGAAAAGAGACATCAAATAAGGAAATTACCTTCTGAATCGTTCTGTTTGTTTGTTTTTTTTTTTTTTTTGCAACAGTGTTACACTGTTAACTCTCATTTAGCTTGTGATCCACTATGATCCCAGATCCCTTTCTGCAGTACTCATTTCTAGGCAGTCATTTCCAATTTTATATGCGTGCAACAGATTGTTCCTTCCGAAGTGGAGTACTTTGCTTTTATCCTTAGTGAATTTCATCCTATTTGCTTCAGACCATTTCTCCAGTTTGTCCAGATCATTTTGAATTTTAATCCTATCTTCCAAAGCACTTGCAACCCCTCCCAGCTTGGTATCATTCGCAAACTTTATAAGTGTACTCTCTATGCCATTATCTAAATCATTGATGAAGATATTGAACAGAACCGGATCCAGAACTTATCCCTGCGGGACCCCACTCGATATGCCCTTCCAGCTTGACTGTGAACCACTGATGATTACTCTCTGGGAATGGTTTTCCAACCAGTTATGCACCCACCTTTATTAGCTCCATCTAGGTTGTATTTCCCTAGATATGGCTATCTATTGTATCTTTCTTGCATTTAGGAACTGAAAATTTTCAGCTTTTGATTTTCTGCCAAAAAAAAGTTGATTTTTTTCCCCCCATGGTGGTAAAATAAACACTTTCCGACCGGCTCTAGAACCCATGTAGATGCCGTTTGCCAACTGTGAATCCCACCGGAGAGGCATTTGTTAAGGGGGTATAATTCCCAGCTTCTTCTCTGCAAGGCAAAGCTGTCATCTTCCTCATGGAGGAGTTACTAGGAAACACCATGTTCAGTTTCCACCCCTGAATCTGGGTGATTACTACATAGGAAAGACTGATTCCCGTTACTTCCAAGTGTTCTTACAATGTTGTTGGATTGGACTGTTTCCATGGTGGATCAGATAACAGAATTTGATTAGTACATTTCAGAGGTAGGCAGAGCATTATCTGTATAAATGTAAGATAAGATGGCCCCATCCCAAATTTCACCACACCGGGAGAAAATAACTGCAGGATGGAGTTAATTCAGTGACTAAATATGAACCAAATAAAAAGCAACTAATGGTGCAACAAAGTAAGTTTGATGAATGTCATTCTCTCCTTCACTGTAAGTTTTAAATAGAATTCCCAGACAAGAATAGTCTTAAAATGTTAAGGTTGAAAATGCGTAGAAATAACTTAAAATAAAAAAAAATACATAGCAGCCTGAAGAGCTCTTTAGGAAAATCATTACCACATATTGTCTAAACCAGTTGATTTTGTGGGAGGTAGAAACTGCCAGAATAGCTGATATTTTCAGTGATACCTATTGTACCTGATCACATAAAGCCTGCATACACTCCATTCTGCCTTGTCTGGGTTTTTTTATCCATCATCCTGATTTTAAAGCTAATGAACATCTGTTTTCTAAGGAAGAAAATCCTATCTAAATCAGTTGACCTCTGAAGCACTTTTCTTGCTTAGAATGCATATTCTAGGTGTGTGGAAGAAAGTGAGCAATCATCCTTCCGCGTTTAAATAGTGCCTTTTCAGCTGTAGATCGCAAGGCTTTTAACAAAGGGTGAATAAGCTTGATTACCTCTTATTTACAGATGGAGAAAGAGAGAAATGTGTGACTTGTCCTAGGTCCAGGGTAGGCAACCTATGGCACGTGTGCCGAAGGCGGCACGCGAGCTGATTTTCAGTGGCACTCACGCTGCCCGGGTCCTGGTTACCGGTCCGGGGGGCTCTGCATTTTAATTTAATTTTAAATTAAGCCCCTTAAACATTTTAAAAACCTTATTTACTTTACATACAACAATAATTTAGTTGTATATTATAGACTTATAGAAAGAGACCTTCTAAAAACGTTAAAATGTATTACTGGCACGTGAAACCTTAAATTAGAGTGAATAAATGAAGACTCGGCACACCACTTCTGAAAGGTTGCCGACCCATTATTGGGATTAGAACCTAGGCCTCCTGAATGTAAAATGCATGCCCAGTCCATAAACGCAGTGCCTCTCATAGTCACTTTCTATTCAGCTTCTTTTATGTTCAGCAGCAGTCAAAAAAAAAATGTTAGGAGCCATTAGGAAAGGGCTAGATAATAAAATATCATAATGACGCTATATATCCATGGTACGCCCACACCTTGAATACTGTGCGCAGTTCTGGTTGCCCCATCTCAAAAAAAAGAAATATTAGAATTGGGAAAGATACAGAAAAGGACAACAAAAATGATTAGGGGTATGGAACAGCTTCCATATGAGGAGAGATTAAAAAGACTGGGACTTTACATCTTGGAAAAGAGATTACTAAAGGGGAGGGGATATGATAGGGGTCTATAAACTGACGAATGTGAAGAAAGTGAATGAGGGAGTGTTTACTCCTCATAACACAAGAACCAGGGGTCACCCAGTGAAATTAATAGGCAGCAGGTTTACAATGAAAGGAGGTAGTTCTACACACAAAGTGTTAGGGGAGACATTGTACTCCTGGGGGAATTGTGCGCCAAAAATTCAAAATTCTGCATATTTTGTCAAAATAATGCAATATAATCACACCAGTTTCAATTGTTTTGGTAATTTATTTAAACTACAATAGAGAAAAAAGTCACAACAACTATTTAGCATTTCCTAAACACATGAAAGTTGAGTTACAAACTTGGTAACTAATACCCTGTATTCCAATTATTATCCTGGATTTTCATTTAAATTTCATTACAGAACACCAAACAGGAGAAAAAGAAAGTAGAATGTAATTTTAAATTGCTCAGACCTTCACACATGACAGTCATACAGTTTTGCTAATCGTTGTGCTGGACCTGGCTGGGTACTTTGGGAAGTGCTTGGTTCTGATTGTCCTGACATTTTATTGACTGCTTGGTAAATGTTTCATTTGCCTTCAAAGTCTTTTTCTTTTCTTTTTTAAATGGGTAAGTAAAATAAATCCTGAGCTGTAATCTAACCCCATTCTGCTACTTTGGCACAGGAAAAAAGTGTGAAAGTGCATAGATCTTCCTAGCTGAGAATTCCCTTACTGTCATTGATAAGAACGCCCTGTCTACACTGGCAAGTTTCTGTGCAGTAAAGCAGCTTTCTGCGTTGTAACTCCCAAGGTGTACACACTGCCAAGACACTTAGTGCGCAGTTACAGCGCTGTAAAAAAACCACCCCAACGAGAGGCAAACAGCTTTCTGCACCAGGGCTACAGCGTCGCGGTGCCAGTGTAGACACCCTGGTCGATTACAGCGCTGCGATTGGCCTCCGGGAGGTGTCCCACAATGTCTGTTCTCACCTCTCTGATCAATGGTTTGAACTCTACTGCTCTGCCCTCAGATGACCAACCGTCATCCCCACCCCGTAAATTCCTGTGGAATTTTGAAAGTCCCCTTCCTGTTTGTTTGGTGATGCGTGCAGTGGTCTCAGCACATCTTTCCAGGTAACCATGCCTGCTCCACGCACCAGGCGATCCCCTGCTTGGATCAATGCCGAGCTGCTGGTCCTTATCAGCGTTTGGGGAGAGGAGGCTGTCCAGTCCCAGCTGCATCCAGCCGTAGGAATTATGATACCTATGGACAGATTTCACGTTGCATGACAGAAAGGGGCCATGACCGGGACACACTGCAGTGCAAGGTCAAAGTGAAGGAGCTGCGGACCACCTACCACAAGGCATTGGAGGCAAACCGCTGCTCTCGTGCTGCGCCCATGAGCTGCCGGTTCTACAAAGAGCTGGACGCGATACTCAGTGGTGACCCCACCTCCACTGCGAAGGCCACTGTGGATACTTCTGTGGCTCACGTGCCAGTCAAGAGTGGACGCTGAGCCAGGAAGAGGAAATCTTGGATGGGGAGGGGGCCCAGAGGATGACTCAGAGGTCAGAGATGAATGCAGCCAGGAGCTCTTTTCTACCCTGGAGGAGGCTAGCCAGTTACAGCTGTCAGATCTTGGTGAAGTGCAAACAGAAGAGGAGGCCCCTGGTAAGTGGATCTGATTCTGGGAATCACAGAAGCGAATTGTTGGGGATGGGAGGGTTGCAGAAAGCAGGCTTGTTTCTGTATGATGCACGTACAACTACATGCCTAGTCTGAGCGGCAGAACAGGCTGTTGATTGGCTCCCTCACTTCATGGGAATCTCCCTCAGAGATCTCCAGCAAACTCTCATGGAGATACTGGGCAATCCACTGCCGCAAGTTCTTTGGCAGAGCTGCTTTGTTTGTTGCCCCATTAAAGGTAACTTTCCCGCGCAACTCTGCCGTCACTGCGGGGGGGGGGGAGGGAGGGAGACCATTGCTGCACACAGGTGAGCTGCATAAGGGCCAGGGCGGAAGCCGCAGTCTTGGAGAAGACCCTCCCTTGATTCCCTGCTCACCTTCAGCAGCAAGATACCTTCCATAATGAACACAGCCTGTGGAAAATGTGGGGACAGGAATGATTATCAGGCCCCCCTACCATGCTGGCTCCCCCCAAGAGCCATGTGCCCAGTGTACAGTAGGGTCCGGGAAGAGTGATTTACCCTGCCCTTGTGGCTACTCACCATTTTGGGGGTCTTGTGGCTCATGTGCTTGCCTGGGGTCAGCCAGTTAGTGACAGGTGCGAGAGTACTGGCTGCGTTTTAAGTCAGTGTTCTGTGTGTTGCAAACAATACTGCTTCTGTAAAACGTTGCGTTTTGGCTTCACAGAGATGACCTTGGGAGTCCAGCCTCCCTCTTTGTTATCGCCGGCTGAATGGCTGCGCAGCATTAGAAAGCACAAAGAACTGAGAAGGACTGTGAAGTCATGATGCACTCCGCGGCCAAAAAACAAGAATTGAAGGAGTGGTGGAACAGCAAGAAGAGGGACGGAAAGGAGAATGCAGCGTGCCAGAACGAAGCCACGGAGCGGCTCTTAAACATGGAGCACCAAGCGGATGTGCTACTAGCACTGCAAACTGAGCA